GCTGGGCTCGCCCTCCTCCGGGATTGGAAAGGGCGAGGGCCGACTTGGGCTTCTAGCCCCGGTCTTCTGACTTTTCCTCCCCCACTGGGTGATCCCCAAGCCCCGGGTCTTGTTTCTGCCCGGTGCCTCTCAGGGTCCCAAAGCTCCACGTACCTGGGAGACCCTCAGGTTCCCCCCCAAAGGAACTTTTTCCCCTCCGGCAGAGGTTGCTCTCCCGGCCCGGAGATCTTGCAGGAATTCTGCAAGGCCGTGGTTGCTGTGCGCAGGGCACCGGGCAAATGTCAGCGGGCTCCCGCCGAGGGGTGGCACAAGTGCGGGGACTCCCGCCCGTGTCCCGGTGCTTTCCGTGGGCTCAGGTCATTCCTCAGTGAACCCGATCGGCCTGTGCGAGGAGGGGGAAGGGTACGGCGAGAGGGGAAAGGTCTGATCTGGGGAGTGCGCCCGAAACAAAGCTCACCTCTCTTCAATGCGTGACTACCCTGGATGCCGGAGGAGACTCTGGACCCCATGTCCTTTCACGGCTGAAGTAGTTACCAGGCTTGTAGCCTGGCCTAGTGAAGTGTTGGCTTAGCGTTCCTAACGCCCTGGGTTTGATCCTCAGCGCTGCAACAACACACATCCCGCAAGCAGGAACAGTTAACAGGTTCATTTTTTTTTCCACAGTAGTTGCAGAAAGTGCCTTTGAGCCTTTGAATGCGTCTGTCCTTCCTCGTTCCATCTCCAGGGGCTCCAGCTCTCTATCCCACATGCCTGACTTCCTCTCCACCAGCAGTTCTCAGCCTTCCTAATTCTGCGGTCCTTTACTACCTCGTGGTGTGGGGATCCCCAGCCATGAAATTATTTCGTTGCTGCTTCGTAACTGTAGCTGTGATTTCGCTGTTGTTATGAGTCTCAATGTCTCTGTGAGTCTCTATGTCTCAATGAGTCTCTTAAGTTTTCCGATGGTTTTAGGCCCCTGACTTATGCGAAAGGGTCGAAAGGGTCGGTCGACTCCCCGAGGGGGTCGCGACCCACATTTTGAGAAACACTCTTCTACAGACTCAGCTGCTGTTTTTCTTTTGACTTACTCCCCCCCCCCCCCATCCCAGGGGAGTCACTTGTTTTTGTTTTGTTCTCTTAATGGTTTGAAATCATCTTAACTAGGAAATACGGCTTAAATTATTCGTCTCTTTTCAGTGTGGCAGAATTCAAAGTTGAGTACAGAACGTTTATTATTATTATTATTATTTGCATTTTCCATTTCACTGGTTAACTTACGGTTTCATTAAAGCTTTATCATTGTCCCATTACTAGAATTCTTGTAAGTATTCCTTCTCAAATTGCCTCAGAAGATAGAATCGCCCGGCGGACCCCAGGTTCTGTCACACTTGTATACCGGATCGCCGAGGAATTAGTTTTAGAACATCCTGTGCCTGGAACTAGCTTAATGTTATGGCAGACATGGTGTCTGTGGCACAGTGCTGGCATGTGGCTGCAGCCTCAGGAATGCAGCACCTATATGTGTTAAGAAAGCCCCGAGATTTATTAAACCTCTCAGTTGCCTTAGTTACAGGCAACTGTACATTATTTAAGAAATAAAATCATTTGAATTATTCATTTTACTGTTTTGTGACCATAATTCCCCCCCCTCCACCCTTGGGAGTGGCATATGCAAGTTTTATCTTTGCAGCCAAAATTCTTAACTGAGCCATGAGCTCCCAAATACAGCTTGAGGGCCAGGACATAGCTCAGAGGTAGGGTAATTACCTCAGTCCTAGATTGATGGCCCAGCACCAGAAAAATAAAATAGCCATAACAAGATCCACTTGAAGTAGGATGTGCACTCTTTTCACCATCTTTTAGACTCACTTCGGTATGTGTCATCATGCCTCTCAGAAGAAACTAGGTGTGGAGTGTCCAAGGATTTTAAAGATGGTTAAGTATAAATTGGGGCTGGCAAGGTAGTTCAGGTAAAGGTGCTTCCCACCAAGCCTGCCGACCTTATCTTCTTCACTGGGACTGACAGGGTAGATGGAGAGAACTCACTCCTGAAAGTTATACTCCATTTCTCCACACCTATGCCCTCCTCAAAAAACAAACTTTTTTTTAAAAAAACTGTACCCACTTTTTAATACTTTACTCCTTTCCATTTTAACCTGTGATAACAGGATCCTAAATGTCCGTGAATAATTTGAATGAAAGCTAATGAACTCTTAGAAATGGTTTGCAAAGTATTTTTTATTTATACCTTTTTGAGAGATCATTCACAGTTGCGTAGTTTCAGAGACAAAGGTATTTGAACAATTAACTTTTCGTGTGTGTTGTTGAGACAGTTTCTTGCCTATATATTCTAGGCTGGCCCTAAACTCACCTTGTAGCCTAAGCTGGCCTCAAATTTGCAGCAATTCTCCTGCTTTAGGCCCACCCCCACCCCAGCTGCTAGGATTGTAGGCATGCACCCCACATCTGACATACTTTTATAAGTTATTTCCTTTACTGAACTGGAACTTGTATTTTCACAGTATGTTCTCAATGCAGATATTTCAAGATGCTTACAATACTATTTCTCCTCTTCTTCCTTTTCCCTTCTCTTCCCTGGGTTTTGCTGTATAGCTCAGGCTGGCCTAAAGTTTACAGCATCTTGCCTCAGCCTGCTGAGTGTTTGGATTGATTATATGTGTATACCTGGCAGTTCTTTTCTTTAGACAAAAAAGCTCCACCCCTCAACCCCAGATAGGGTGTAACTGTATAGTCTCGTGGCTGTCCTGGAACTCACTATGTAGACCAGGCTGGCCTTAAACTCACAGAGATCTGCCTGCCTTTGTCTCCCAAGTGCTAGAATTTAAGGCACTGCCACTAACACCTGGCTGACAAAATACTGTTCATCATTAAACTTTTCTAAAGGATTTTTTTCTGTCACTGTTTTCATCTGAGATCCTCACAGGAGAAGAATGAATGCCATTGTCTACAGGTACAGTGTGTACACACGGAGGCTACAAGTCAGCCCTTTCTCTAGGGCTCTCCACCCTGTTTATTTGAGACATCTCTTACAGAACCGCTGCTGGAATGGCTGCCTGGCTTGGGAATCCACCCCTTTCTCTTCCCACAGTCTCCCTGCCCAGCTCTGGGACGGTTACAGATGGGAGCCTCTATTCCTGGCTTTACATTGGCTTTAAAACAGTAGATGTGTTTCTTTGGCAGTCACATCCTGCTAATTCATAGTCATATAAATTAAACTCTTTATTTTTTTGAGCCAGGGCCTCACACTGAAGCATAGGCTGACCTAGAACTTACTAAGTAGCTGATCTAAACTCGTGTTAGTCCTCTTGCCTTAGTCTTATAAGTGCTGGCATTACAGGCTTAAGTCACTGCCTGGGGCAGAAGTTTTCCGAGACAGGATTTCTTTGTTGTAGCCTTGCTGTCCTGGACTTGCTTTGTAGATCAGGCTGACCTCAAACTCACAGCAATCCACCTGCCTCTGCCTCCCGGAGTGCTGAGATTACAGGCATGCACTACCATTACCTAGCCTAAAATTTTAATTTTTTTCTTTTCCTTAAAAATTTTTTTAAATTTTTTAATTTTTTGAGGCAGGGTTTCTCTGTGTATCCTTGCTTTGTAGACCAGTCTGGCCTTGAACGCACAGAGATTTGCCTGCCTTTACTGGGAAAATTTTATTTTCTTATATTAACAAAGAAGGTAAATTTTGGGGGCTAGAGAGATAGCTCAGGGGTTAAGAGCACTGGCTGCTCTTCCAGATGTTCTAAGTTCCATTCCCAGCAAGCATGTGGTGGCTCACAACCATCTGTAATGGGATCTGATGCCCTCTTCTGTCATGCAAACATACATGCAAATACATGCAAATAGAGCATTCATATATATATAAATAAATAAACCTTCAAAAAAAAGCTGGCTTTTCTGGTTTTAAATCTTGGCTGTACAACAAGTGTTAGTTTCTTCATCTGCAAAATGGGAGTAATGTTAGTGTCTATCTCATAGGATTTAAGGGGAGAGGGCTTTAAAAAGACAGCTGTAAACACCTAAGAATGGGCCAGCGTTTCTCAATAGAGAACCAACTAAATTTGTCTATGCTCTTCTAAGTGTTGCTGTTGTTTTTGAGATAGGGTCTTGCTATTTTCTTCAGACTCACTGTTTTCTGCCTGAGATTACAGGCACAGTCCATCATGCCTGGTTCTGCCCGTTCTTCTTTTTAAATTTGATGACATTTATTTGTGTGTGTACGTGTGTGTGTGTACCTGTGTGTAGACACCTGCAATGATCAGGAGAGGGCATCAGTTCCATAGGCAGGGCTGCAGGGGACTGAACTCTGGTCCTCTGCAAGAACAGAAACCCCTGCTGAACCATCTCCCCAGCCATGAATTTGTACTCAGCTGTATATTGATAATCAGGCTTTAAAGCGCACGCACACACACACACACACAAAGACAGGATTTCTCTATGTAGCCCTGTCTGTCCTGGACTCGCTCTGTAGATCAGGCTGGCCTCAAACTCACAGACATCCGCCTGCCTCTGCCTCCCTGAGTGCTGGAATTAAAGGTGTGTGTCACTACAGCCCATCATATATTTTAATTTTTAAAAATATTTATTTTTTGATATATTTTAATTTTTAAGGCTTACTTTTTTATTTAAAAAAGAATTATGTGTATGTGCGCGTGGCTGTGTGTGGGTGTGTCTATTTGAGTGCAATTGTCCAGCAAAGCCAGAGATGTTACAGAGTTGGAGTTACGGATGGTTGTGAACGGCCTTACATGAGTGTTGGGAGTTGAACTTGGGTTCTCTGCATGAGTACTAAATGCTCTTAATCACTGTGCTATCTTTCAATCCCAAGCAGATTTCTTTGTAACAAAATATTTAAGGCTTATTTTTCCTCTTGCTATATTACAGGTTTGACTTATTAGAAATTAATTCAGAAAAAAAAATTAAATTGGTGTAAGCCAAAACTAAGAGGAATATTATGAAATAACATAAAACCTAAGAACTGTTGAAGGCGTGCTGGCAGAGGGTTCAGGTAAAGGCTTTTGCCATGCAAGCCTGCTGAATAGGCAATCACTTCCAGATCCCACAGGACGATGAAAGGAAAACTGAGTCCGTAAAATTGTCCTCTGACCTCCACACGGGTGCTGTGGCGTATGTACTCCCCAAAAAATCAAATAAATTTTGTACATTTGAAAGTTGTTGAAAGAAAAAAAAAATCCTAAATATATTTCAAAGGGATGATAGAAATCCAGTAGCAATTGTAATGTTATTAGTCTCAGTACTTCATAAGGGTGCTGTGGCTCATGTTGCTGTTAGGAACTAGGGTTGAGTATGCCTGGCAAATTAAGTCGATAGCCACGAAAAGAGTGTATTTAATACAGTTATATGTGTCTCTAGTATAAAAGTAGAAATATTACATAAAAAAGATTTTTTTCTCTTCACTTTATTCTAGGTTTGTATTGAATAAGCGTTCTGACAAACTGCTGAAGAGAGAGCCTTGATAGACTGTCTAGGTATGTATGTGTGTATCTATATCTCTGTGTTTGTGTAAGTAAGTACACATGTATATAAATACAGAATGTGTATGTGCAGATTCACTGTACGAAGAACTCTAAGCTTGTTTCCCCATCACCCAGGACACTGATGTAGGAGGCACGTGTTTTATAACAGCCTGGGCAGGAGGACTTTTGAGGCTAAAGGTTAGCCTGGGTGACATAGTTAGACCTTATATCAAAACAAACAAGTATTTGTAAACATGTATCCCAGCATACCAAGATGAATTTAACTCAGCTTGTTCTTGAGCGAAGCCATTTTCTGAGTGTTTTGGTCCATATGTGTTCATGTGTGTGTGCCATGCAGGTGCTGGCTTGTGTGTGCACAGATGAACATGGAAGCCAGAGGTGAAGGTCAAGTGTCTTCCTCAGTCATTTTCTGACTTTGTTTTGAGGCGGTCCCTCATTGAACCTGGAGCTCAGTGGCTAGACTTCCTGCTCACCGAGCCCCAGGGCTTCCTTCCTGGTGCTGCCATTCGGCCACTGCACCTGGCTTTTCTGTGTGGGTGCTGAGGAGCTGAACTCCGGCCCCGTGCACGGCAGGCCTTTACTGGTTAAGCCATCTCCCGGCAGTCATCTCTTTCTTAAACTTTTATTTAAGGATAGAGGGATTTTTGGCTTGCTGTCTAGTTATTAAGATTAGGATTCCTACAGCAGTAGGCATAGATAGTAATGCTTCCCAAGCTCCAGCCTGTGCCCCGTTACTATTTTACTTGGAACACCTAGATGAACTTAAAATTAATCTCTATCAGTTTTGAAAACTAACCTGATTTTAGTCAAGTATTTATGTCTAAAATCAGAAGCCCTCTTACTCCCTTCCTCTCCCTTCCTTCCTTCTTTTCTTCCTTCCTTGTTTGTTTCTTTCTCTCTTTCTCTTTGTTTCTTTCTCTTTCCATTTCTGTTTCTTCCTCTTTCTCTTTCTTTTCTTCCTTTCTCTCTCTCTTTTATCTCATCTCACTATGTAGCCCCAGCTGGCCTGGAACCTCCTATATAGAACAGGCTGGCCTGAAACTCACAGAGATCTGCCCACTTCTTCCTGAGTGCTGAGATTATAGGAGTGAGTCACCATGCCCAGCTCTAGTTTGTACTCTGTCTTTTTTTATTGTTGTGATGATGAAATATCTGACAAAGGCAATTGAAGGAAGGAAAAGTTTATTAAAAAAAAAAGATTTTATACTTTGTATATGTATGTGCTTGTGTTTCTGCCATGTGAATGTGGATACCTGTAGAGTGAGCCGGAGTTACAGGCTGTTACGAGCCACCTGGTGTGGGTGCCAGGTGCTCATCTTCCTCTGGAAGAGCAGCAGCCCTCTTAACCACTGAGACATTTTTTCCCAGCTCCAGGAAGGGTTAATTTGGGCTCACTGTTTGAGGTACAGTCCGCAATGTGGAGAAGTCATGGCAGCAAGAGCTTGAAGCAGCTGGTCACTGCAGCTGTGAGCACAGTGTGGTCAGGACGTAAAGAGGATGACGGGCCAGGGAAGGGCGCTGCTCAGAGTTATGGCGGGTCATCCTACCCGTTAACTTCATCTAGACTGTTCTTTTTAGCTGTGTCCAGAGCCTGGTCTCTTTGGTGTTCTAGGTCCTGTCAGTTTGGCAGCATTAGTCGTCAGATTCACAAGTTGTGAACGTTATTTGAGGTGGGGAGCTCTCCACTTAGGCATTCTGTCTTGTCTACTCTGATTCTTAGCTCCAGTATCTTGTCTACATTTCTGTATTTCTTTAAAAACATAGGGACCTGGTATCCAAAAAGAGGAGAAGTAGTAGGCCAGACTTACTTTCAGGACTCTGCTGGGTCTAGTGTCCTAGATTTCCCTTTTTGACTTGTTATGTTAGTATTTGACTGCTTTAAATTAAAATAATTTTTAAATCTTCCTCATATCTTTAGTCCTAGAGGTAAAACCATCTTAGAAATACTTGGAGTAGAGGGCTGGAGAAATGGCTTAGTGGCTGAGAGCACTTGCTCTTGCAGAGGACCCATATTCAGGTCTCAGCACCACCAGGCAGCTTACAACTGCTGCAACTCCAGTTTCAGGCCCTTTTCTGGCCTTCAAGGGCACCAGGCAAACACGTGCACATACACTCCAATGCATAAGATAAAGTAAATAACTAAAAAATGAATGGGCTGGAGAGAAGGTTTGGTGGTTAAGAGCACTTGTGCTCTTCCAGAAGAGCAGGGTTCAAGTCCCAGCACTAAAACAGTGGCTAACGACTCTAGTTAGGGGATTGGACGCCCTCTTCTGGCTTCTGCTGGCACATGCAGGCAAAACACCAGTATAAATAAAGTAAAAATATAAATATTTTTTTTTAAGTTAAAATACTTTGGGGGAAATGTGATAGATTTAAAGAAAATCGTACACGTAGTGGATCTCTGGGAGTTTGAGGCCAGCCCAGTCTACAAAGAGAGTTCAGAACAGCCAGGGTGCTGTGTAACAGAGAAAAGTGTGTGTGTGTGTATCTTCCCGTCTCGGACCAGAAACATAATCAGCAGCACCTAGACCTAAGCCCTTTCTTCTCCAGGGCTACTCTACTGACTTACGGGCTGGTAAGATTTTTATCCTTATCTCCTTTTAGTTTTTTTTTTTCCTTGTTGTGACACTGATCCCTCTCATCCTGCCTTCTTTCCTCTCTCCTTCCTTTTTTTCTTCCTTTCTTCCCTTTTTCTCTTCCTCCCACTTTTGCAGTGCTGGGAATAGCAGAACTTTGCACATGTCACGTTAGCACTCTACGTCTATGTCTATATAAGGTTCATTATTTTTGTCTTTATATTATTACACGTGAGTGTGCACCATGATTGTGCAGTTACCATCAAGGGGCCAGAAGAGGGTGTTTGTTGAGTTTCTTAAGAGTTGAAGTTACAGGCAGTTGAGAGTCACTTGATATAAGTGCTGGGAATCAAATTTGGGTCCTTTGGAAGAGCAGCAAGCTCTCAACCACTGAGCTATCTTTCCAGCCCCAAGGAATTTTTTTTTTTTTTTGAGACAGGATTTCAAGCTGGTCATGAGCTCTGTAGAGCTTAGGAGGATCTTAATCCTCTTCCTGATCCTTCTTCCTCCCTCCCATGAGATCTGGGATTACAGCTAGGAACCACTGTACCTGTTTTGCTTTTATGTTGTGCTATGGATTAAAATGAGAATTTTATTCATGCTATGCAAGTACTCCACTAACTGAGCTACATCCCAGCCCACATGTTTGACTTTGGACTAATTTAGGTCCTAGAAAAGTTATGAAAGAATGTGAAGTGTTTTGTTACAGTCATTATTCAGTTTCCATGACTATTAACAGGTTTTGTGTATGTTGTGCATGTATGTTTTCATGTGTGTGTATGTATGCAGCAAGCCCCAGGTATCTACCTGCTTCATCACAGTTGTGATGCTTCTGCACCTGGCCTTTTTACATGGGTGCTAGGGATCCTGAGTCAGATTTTCATGCTTTGTGGTGACTGGAATCTCACTAGCCTCAGTATTAGCAGTTTTACACAACTGTAGTAGAGTCATGAGCTGCATTGTGTTTCAGTTAAGAGACTACATACTACATATACGACACTGGCCCCGTAAGGGTATAATGGTGATAAAAAATTCCTGTGGCGTAGTAAAGTCGTCCATTGTAGTCTAGCACGTTACTCACATATTGGTGGAGATGCTGGTCATAAGAGAATATAACGACTTTCATTGTGTATAATACATAATACTTGATAGTGATAATAAATCATGTTACTGGTCTATTTGCTGTATTTTTCATTGTCGTTTTAGAGTACATGCTTTCTATTTATTAAAAAGGGTACTGTAAAACTATGCTTTGTTAAACTGCCGTCAGTACACACATAGTGTCATTAGTAGTGTGTAGCCTGCACCATCTAGGTTTGTGTAAGTTCTTGATGTTTAACAGACTCACCTAACAACTTATTTCTCAGAATAGTCTTTTTGTTTAGCTGTGTATGACTGTGTAACAACCAAGAGTCTAACGGTTAATCTTTCTTTATTAAATTTTTTAAGTTTTGTGTTTGAGTGCCTGTGTATAGGGATGTATACATGGGTGCAGGTGCCAGTGGGGCCAGAAGAAGGTGATGGAGATCCAGAAACTGGAGTTGTGAGATGGCTGATGTGGGTGTTGGGAACTGAACTCAGTTCCTCTGGAAGAGCAACTCTTAATCACTGAGCTCTCTTCAGCTCATGGTAGTGAATCTGATTACCAACTGTTTTGGATTAAGAAGTGCCTAGCAGGGGCTGGAGAGATGGTTCAGTGGTTGAGAGCATTGACTGCTCTTCCAGAGGACCCTGGTCCAATTCCCAGCACCCACATGGCAGCTCACAACTGCCTGTAACTCCTGTTCCAGGGGGCCCGACACCCTCACACAGACATACATGAAGGCAAAACACAAATGCACATAAAATAAAAATAATTACTAAAAAAAAAAAAAAAGAAGTGCCTAGAAGGGGCTGTAGTTATGGCTGAGAGGTTAAGAGTTCTCATGCTTTATTGAAGATCCCAGAACCCTCATGAGGCAGTTCACAAGTGCCTGTAACTCCAGAAGCTCCAAGGGATCCAGTGGCCCACTTCTGATCTCTGTGAATACCTCCACACACATTCAAACAGAGCTGTCCAATTAACAGCAGCCAGGAGACAGGGCAAGGGAATGCCCTGAGGTAGCTCGCTTCCATTTTCTTCTTTTCCCCTCTGGCATTATCTTCTAAAGTTAGTATATTGCCCACAGAACTGGTGAATGTTTACAAATTCTCATACTTTATTTCTGTAGTTCCCTGTCTTGAATTTGCTTTGAATTTTGATTACTTTCTATTTTCTGGAAGCACATATTATGGAAGGCTCCTGTAAGCTAATCAGGCCTTGAGTTCCTGATTGTCCTGCTATCTTCTGAGTCCTGGAATTGTAAGTGTGTCACCATACATGGCTATTGGGAGGTCTGTATTGAACTGTCTACTGAAAGTCAACCTTTCATTTTA